CATTATTATCATTATTATTATTATCATTATTGTTAATATAATAATAAGAATTATTATTATTGTTGTTATTATCATTATCATTATTATTATTATCATTATCTTTGTCATTATTATCATTATTATTATTATTGTCTTTAGTGTTAATAATAATAATAATTATTATTATTTGACTGCTCTGAACATTTTGAAGGCTGGTTGAGGGCGTTGCTTGGTGGTGACACAGCACGATAAATAAACGTGTCATCAGTGTAACAATGAATCGCTGCAGGTCGTACGCTACAAATAGGGATTCACAATATTATCGGCATGGTATCGGTATCCGCCGATATTAGCGATAAAGTTAAATATCAGACATCGGCCATTCCATCAAAATTAATGAGTGATATAAAAGGCACAGTTTTAAAAAATAAATTCTATATTTATATAGTGTTATATCATTTTCAACCCCTTTTTTTGGCATCTGCATTTGGTCGCAGGACAAATTGGCAAAGACCACGCAGAATAATGTGTTTTAATTCCACAGCAGAGAAAGTTATGAAGTCTATGTAAGTAGGTCTAGGGGGGAAAAATATCAGTATTGGTATCAGATATCGGCCAAAAATCCAATATCGTGCATCCCTAGCTACAACCCAAACAGTTATCATAAATAATAAAAACTAACAGAACGTGTGTGTTTCCAGACCTCAACTCATCACAGAAAAACTTCAGCTGGATTTAACGTCGTTCTGTGCAACACACCAGATCATCCTCATCACATTTTCTTTGTTCCACCAGAATTAGGAACCTTCAAGGCGAAGGTGGTATCACTTTAACTTCTCAAAGCTGCACCAGGCTTGAAGAAATCTTCTTTAATAAACTTTTATCAGTGGATTATTTTATCCCAAACAAATAACAAGTGAAAGAAATCACACAATCCATGAGCAAATCAGAGAAAATGAAACGTTCAGAATCAGTTTAGATAGAAACACCCATGATCCTGCAGCACAACGTAACAAATTAACTGTATAATTTCTTCCAAATCAAAGACATTTAATCTGTTAATCTGCTGTAACAGTCAAACTGCAGGACACCCATCCAAAACACAATCTGACAGGGATTAAAGTCTGATTAAAGAGCAGATTAATTCATATTTATCAGCTATAAATATGCAGAACGAGATACAGAACCCAGAGACAAGATTATTATTCCTCTTAATAATAAAATATTAATTAATTTAAATATTTGAAATAAAATGCCATTTCTTAGGTGGGTTATTTAGAAACAGAGTGTCAGTTCCTTTGTTGTCATAATCTGATGTTATAATGAGGCTGCTGCAAGGAATTATGGGATTGAATTCTCTTTCTCCTTTAATTAAAGATGCTCCAGGGCTTTATTTGCTAAAGGAAACTCCTTCTGGTTGATTTAGGATCCTGTTCGCTCACATATTTCCTTCCCAGTGTTTCGTTTGTCCTTTCTGGGCTACTGTAGTGATTTTGAAATAAAACTGATTCTGCTTCTTTTCCATTAATAAAATCAGGATTAATTTTGTTTTTCTGCTAAAACACCTTCCAGAAACATTATTTAATGATAAAAACCTCCTCCTTCCTTTGATTCTGTTGCTTTAATGTTTTATTTAAGATATTTTGGGGGGGGGGGGGTCCAGCAGCCTGATTCCCAGCTCTGTGGGTTAATCTTCACTGACGTGGAATGAAACTGTGTTGCTGTTCAGTCGTGAGCAGATTGTCACACTGACCCCCCCCCCCCCCATGTGTCATCTCTTTAAAAACAGACAAAACGACTCCAGTCGACTGGATTATCTTCAGTTTCTCAGATTTTACGGCCCCCCCTCTCTTTAACAGTAAATTTATTTTGAAACCCTGTTGGTGAGCAGCGACCACGCCCTCAGGCCTCTCCATCAGCTCCATCTCTGCACATCGACTCGTCTTTAATCCCCCCCCCAACGTGAAGACTAAACTCCCAGAACAATCCAGAGCAAGGCCACGGGAAATCTTTACCACGAGGAACTTTCATCATTTGTCAGTGAAGGCAGAAAACAGGAGCTCGCTCTGTTTGGTACCAATCACCAAACTTTACATGCTTCTCCAAAACGCAGCAACAAAAACAGACAGTTTGGGCCTGAATACACCAAAATGAACAACTCCCAGCATGCATTTCTTCCATGAGGCTTTGTGTGCACATTCAGTTTTCACTTGATGGCCGACTAAAAGAGCAGCAACACGAGAAAACTGCAGAGGCGGGTGATCATGTTGTGTGTTTGTCTGTTAGCACAATATCAACCGTAGCAAACTCAACTGTTTTGTCAGACTTGGTAGTAGCTGAGTGTCATCCCTCAAGATGGCGGGCGATATGCATTCCACATGCAAAGAGTGTTTGCTGCTATTTATTTTATAGATACTGATATCATTCGTGTAATCTTATTATGTTAAACTTCTCAAAAAATCCATTTTAAATTGTATCCACCAGAAAAGAGTCTGAATGTGCAGCTTGTTGGAGTTTAAATCTTAAGATGAATCAAGCCTCTGATCAAACACTGATTCTTTATTTCCAAATAGTCCTGATAAAAAATAAAAATAAAAAATCTAAATGGGAGCAGAAATCCACCTGGAGGAGATTTCAGGGTCGGCCCAGTCAGCAGAATCATCCCTGCAACCTCTGCAGGGCTGCAAATGACAAGCAGCCGAAATAAATCAATAAATACATTTTAAATCAAAGATTATTGATTAATTCCAGCAGCTTTGATGATGTCATCCAAATGAGAGAAGCAGCTGCAGAAAGAGACGATCGTTCTGTGTCTCCTCGTTTTGACCTCATTCTAGCTGCTGCTGCTTTTCATGACGACATCCATGATTCATGAGCTCCTCCATCCTCCTCCACCTCCTCCACCTCCTCCTCTGCGTGAAGGAGAAACAGCCAGAACCTCCATCCCCCACTTAAAAATCAGTCCATCAAACCCGAACCGGTCTTCAACCATCACATCTGCTTTCAGGTGAAAACGACACGATCTAATCCCGAATCAATGATCAGCCTCTAATCTGCCTCATTTGATCCATAATCAGGGCGTGAGCCGGAACCGGACCGAACCAGATAGAAGAATTCGGTCCGGACTGAATAAATGTGATCATTACATTTTTACATTTAAAAAAAAAAAAAGGAGAGAGGAAAAGGAGAAAAGGAGAAAAGGAGGAGAAATATGTTGAAACAAGGAACGTTTGGTTCTTACCTCATGACTCGGAGCAGAGCAGAACACCACTGAGGAGGAGGAGGAGGAGGAGTGGGGAGGGGGAGGGAGGAGAGGGGGAGGGAGGAGGTCCATCTGCATTTCTAACAAATAAAAGAAAAACGGGTTTAAAACTTTAAAACCATCAGTGCGACTTGATTCTGCAGAAAAAGTCTGAATGAAGAGTTTTATTTACTGAAAGTGCTTTGGTTCAAATCACGTGTTCATGTTTCTGGTCCTGATGCATTTGATATTTAAATATTTAATATTTGACCCGAATGACCACGAATGATGATGTCAGGGTCAAGGGGCGTTGCTGTAAATGAGTTCAACCGATTTTCTGGAGCACTTTGGGAAGTTTCTGCCCTGCAGCATCAGCAGAGCAGAGAGGGACGCCCTCACCACCCTCAGCAGAACATCATCATCCTCCCAGCAGATGAAGGAAGGTGCACGGTGATTTTGAACTCACTATCATGAGAAAGTTATGACACTCCTTAGTGACTTAACCACTTATGAACCTCTGCAAAGAGATCCAGGAAGTGGTTACAAGAAGAAGTTAATAGATTTCCTGAAACATCTGGAGCAGGACAAGGCTATTGACCGTTTTCTGTACCACAGACTGTACCCAGGGGAGGCCACACCTAGTCTGGATGGTTTACCTAAAATCCACAAACAGGGTGTACCTTTAAGACCAATCGTTAGCATGATTAACTCTGTCACTTACAATGTTTCCAAATATCTGGTGTCTGGTCAGTTTAACCTCCTGAGACCCTGCGTCCACATCTGGAGACAGTACATTTTGACTTTGCAGTACCTTCTACTTCATACTGTTCAATAGTGTTTAAAAATACAACTTCCTGTTCGAAGAGGAAGCTGTATTTATACACAAATCAGGTCCATTTCATCACAAATATCCAGGAGATGTTAAAAAGGTATCGCAAACCAGAGCTCAGGTCTCAGGAGGTTAAGATTAAAATCAGACACCACTCTGCTGCTCAGAGTGGTGTCTGATGTTGTTGCCAACCTGTACATGGAGGAGGTAGAAAAGAGCGCCTTGACGTCCTTTTCAGGGACACCACCAAGTCATTGGTTCAGGTATGTTGACGACACCTGGGTTAAAATCAAATCTCAGGAAGTCCAACATTTTACTGACCACATCAACTCTGTGGATAAATACATCAAGTTCACATGAGAAGATGTAAAAAATGGCAGGTTGGCTTTCTTGGACTGTGAGGTCTCAGTCTCTGATAGAGGACATTTGCAAACCGAGGTGTACCGCAAACCCACCCACACAGACCAGTATTTGCAGTTTGACTCCCATCACCCTTTGGAGCACAAGTTAGGAGTCATCAGGACTCTGTACCACAGAGCAGACAGCGTCCCCACTAGCTCAGGAGCCAGGCAGAAGGAGAAATCCCACACAAGACAGGCTCTAGAGCAATGTGGATATCCTAACTGGGCCTTCCTGAAAGCAGAAACCCAAACAGGACTCCAGTCAGCCATCAGGTGAAAAGGAGGAACCCAGACCCAGACCAGTGGTCATTCCATATGTTGAGGGAGTATCAGAGAAACTGAGACGTTTATTTTCTAAACATAACGTCCCAGTGGCTTTTAAACCCCAAAATACATTAAAGACTGGTTCATCCCAAAGATCCAGTCCCCCGGCACAAACAGAGTAATGTTGTGTATGCTGTTCAGTGTCAGGAGGGTGATCAGTCTTACATCGGGGAAACTAAACAGCCACTGGCCAAAAGGATGGACCAGCACAGAAGATCAACATCATCAGGCCAGGACTCTGAGGTCTACACTCATCTCCAGGCCAGCGGTCACTCTTTTAGGGATGAAGATGTTCACATCCTGGACAGAGAGGAACGATGGTTTGAGAGAGGAGTAAAGGAGGCCATCTTTGTGAAAAGAAACCGTCCATCATTAAACAGGGGTGGAGCCTCCTGGTTCAACTGTCCCCCTCTTACAATGCTGTGATTGCTAGTATCACTCAGCCCTCTGTGAGTAGTAAACAGCCATCAGTGTGCTAATGATCCATTGTTAGGCTGATGGTCCTTCTTGAGCATGTGATCAGCTGGTTCTGGTTGTCAGCAGCAAAACTGGTTGATCCACTCTGAGAAGGTGCTATTTAAGAGACTGAGCTGAATACAGCTCCTCAGACTGAAGAAGTCCTTTGGATAAAAGACGAAACGTTTCTACAAGAAGAATCATCCAGAGGACCTGACTTAACCTTGTTAGACTAAAATTGTACAACTTTTGATTTTCATCTAAATATTTTAGCTTGACATTTACTTCTAGATTTTAACCAAAATTTTACCACTTTTAGCTGGCATTTTGTTACTTTTAGCTGGCATTTTGTTACTTT